ATTACCACCATTCCCGTTTCCGTCTTTACTTCCACCATCATCACCGCCATGGCCATCGCCACCGTCGTCATCAATTTCCGGTTCTAAATCACTTAAAGTCTCATCTTTTAATCCGCTATATGCCCATTCCGGTACCGATCTACCGGAGATTTCCCCAGTAATCACTTCCGATCCAACACATCGGCTTCTCAATTTCCGACAAGACAGCTCCGAATTCAAATGGATCCGTCTAGATTCAATACCGGGGCTTCTACGGAAACAAATCGATCTAATTTCCAACCTTTGACCTGCTCTGCATTGCTTTCGCGGCTCTACACCATTGAAACAATCGTTGGAGAAATTTGAAATGTGGGAAATTTTTAGGGATATAGACATTTGCGTGTCCGATGTTGTCGAGTAAGTATGATCTACGAAGGAAAGATCAAGTACCCAGAAGCTTAAAATGTATAAAAGTTTGGAATTTTGGAGCAAAGAGGAAGAAGGCGGACTTATGTATGTTATGAGATCAAATCAATCAGTTGGGGGAGGTTTAAGGGTTTTGAACACACTCTTGGCCTTAATGGGAGACGACCAAGTGGGGAATGGTAAGATACGGTCGTGCCTACAGAAAACTCTACAAATGGCTACACGGTATTGGTCAAGTGGACAAGGCGAAAAATTGGGACTTTTTTCTTTTATCTATATATAATAGCAATCCTAAAAAATGAATATTTTTCTTTGTTACTTCTTGATTTATTTATAGTGGTTGTTTTTAATGGTTGCGTCTTGTCGAAAGGTTGTATCTTTTCGTAAAAAAAAACCGTTTGGTGGTTATTTCCAAAAGTTGCACATTTTCGATATAACCGTTTTGTCAAAAGTTGCGTCTTTTCGATATAACCGTTTTGTCAAAAGTTTGCGTCTTTTCGACATAACCGCTGTATAGTTATTTGTAAGGGTTGCGTCTTTCGAAACAAATCGTTTCGCCTATATATATATATTTTATCTCGTTGGTGTAACCGTTTGGTGGTTACTTCCTAAAAATTTTCGTGTTTTTAAGATGTTAATATAACTGTTCCGTCAATAGTTGCGTCTTTTCTTAATAACCATTTGGTGGTTACTTCCTACGTCAATAGTCGCGTCTTTTTATGATAACTGAATAGTGGTTATTCCTAAAAATTATAATTTTTAAAAAATAACCGTTTTATCAAAAATCTGTTTTCCTATATATATGTTTTGATCTTTCTTTTGTTCATTCTATTGCTTTTGTCATGGCTATTGGTTCTACAAATTACTCAAAACTTAAGGCTTATTCAAAACGTCATTCTATTATTTTGTATTTATTTAACAATTTGGATATTTTTACCATTGAAGAAGTTCCAAAAATTCTAGATTTGTTTAAAGAATTTTGGACTTCATTAGACAATGCTCATATTTTGGCGAATTTTAAATATAAACGACTAATGAAAATTTCAAATTTATTTTTTTGGAAATGGGTGGGGAATGTAGTGAGTTTTTTGATCTTACAATTTCCCACAGAAATACTGATTCTTTATATTTGAAAGCAGTTTATTTAGGTTGTCATCATCACAATATTGAAGCTGCGTTAACATTGCTATACAATTCAGGAATGAAGAAACACCCACAATCGATTTGATTATCAACTATATTTTTTTATATGTATTGGACAATTTAAATATGCTACAATTCAAATGAATCGATTGAAATGGTGTACAAATTTTGAGATTCTTCTTTTTGTTAGACGAAAAGCGATGGTTCTAATACGAGGAATGTGTTTAGAAGGGAAAACATTTTTTACTGACATGCTTTATAGATCTAAATTTAAAATTGTATCGTCTTGTAAGTGTTTGTTACCTTGTAGTAGTAATTGTTTCTTACGACATCAAATTGGTTACTTTCTTAAATATGTGTAAATGTAGTCATAATATTTTTGTAAATGTAATTAAAATTTCAATGGATCAATAATAACTTTTAATCCATGAAGTTATACATTTTAAGAGGTCCTTATGTCTATGGCAAAATAATGTGCTCTCGTGCTAAGAATTTAAATTTATCCCGATAGTTAATCAATTTTATATTTTTTTAAAATTCATTAATCATTTGCTTTTGATAGTTCCAGACTTTTCAGATTTTGTATCCTTTTGATTTGGTTAATCATCAATCAAATTTCATAATAAATTAGTTGTTTAGAATTGATCAAACTGCGGACCAAAGAAAAAAAATTGTGACCTTTTTAAAAATAATCCCGATATACTTTTTTGGATTTCCATGCATAAAGCACGAAACAAAACACATGAGAAGAATCAGTACTATACTTGGTTTCATTGTTCCCTACATGACTCTCAACACATTTTGGTTATAATATTAACAAACCGTTACTCGTATCGGGTGTACCAAACAACCAATTATACACATACCAAGTATGACTTT